GTGTTACTGTTCTTATTAGCTGTATATCTGCTTTATTTCTGCACGTTTCCCATTCATTTTTTGAACACACATCCTATGTCTATGCTCTGTGGTGACATCCACTTTGGAAAAGTCTATTACAAGACATGAATAAACAGACTGAACATTTCTCAAACTCTGATTAGTGCTACTAATGCTGGCTAGTATAGTAGAGCTGTTGTAAAAACAATGGTCTACAGATACAAGTGAAGCAAGATTTATAGGGGGAAAACACTTCTTTTATTGGAAAAACTAATAGCACTGAGAAAAAAAAAAAGACAACTTTTCCAGCACACTAGTCCATCAGCAGGTCTGACACGGGTATGACAAATAAGCTGTGACTAATTTATCTGGGTATGTGGGGGGGTTGTGATTATATTAATCAATTAGCACTTAGCACTTCCTGAGGAGTATGGAGAAAACTGTTCTGGACCAGACGATGCATGAGCTTGTCAAGCCAATGATTATTAGGATCAAAGACCTAGCAACTTTTGTTTCACATTTTTTCCAACTCGTCAACCTTTTCACTCTTCTAGTAGGTGAAGTAATAGTAATAGCTGCAGACAAATAACTAAGCCACTGAACAGGCCTTGGCCTAAGGTTAAGCTGCCTGAACAGGTTGTGAAAAAACACTGCCTATGACATGAAAAAATGGTGAATGCAAAAGATAACCGTGTGAGAAGCTGACAAAAGTTACAGAGCTGCGTCAGATGTCATATTTACCAAGTGGTTAAGAGGGAGTTCTGAGAGAAACAGCTGAATATCACAGATAGTTGGAAGGAAATACTGGGGACCTTTTGGGGGTAGTATTACAAGGTTAACAATACCTAGTTAAAAATATCAATAATACCATATAAGCCTGAGATCACCTAGGCAGTATATATAACCTATGTAGTAAAATTGGGACCAGTGGGGAAAAAGTAGTTAGGGGCAGATAATTTATTTAGGAGGATACCAGGACAGAGAAAGGGAGGTAGAAGGGGACAAACAAGGAGAATCAAGGTTCAGAAAAATGATGTTAATATATGCAAATGATGTAATCAGGACTTTCCAAAAATAACCACCAGGCAGCCTTGCACTTGATTACTGCAGTTGGAATAGAACAATATACCAAACCTGTTTTTCTGACCAAAATGCACAAGTCAAACAAACTTCTGTGGTCAAGAGAACTGGAGGTACCAGATACTTTCCCTGGCAGAGGGGAACACCCAGACAGACAGACAGACCAAATATCCTGGCATCAGCATATCAGCTCTATTCCAGGCCTGATTCCACACGACTTCAGCGTAGTAATTCTCTCATCATAAAATTTAAGCTTGTCCCGCTTCTTACAAGACTGTCCCTCCTAGATATCATTTTAGTCTCTGTGGACTGAGACATATAATGGAATACAACCCAGAGAATATGACAGATATCATACCGTAGGATTTGCCATTGATGGAGCACTTGTTGAAACACATGATATTCTGAGTGAGAGTCCCTGTTTTGTCTGAGAAGATGTACTTGATTTGCCCCAGCTCTTAATTGAGTGTGGTGGTACGGGTCTGAGACGGTGTGTCATTCACTGGGTAATACATTTTACGATCCCAATCAATGTAGAAGCTGTTGCCCAAGCGTATAATCTCAACACTGGAGAAAGAAGAAAAAAAGATGATGAAATATTCATTAGTTTAAGGGAAAAAGTCTTTAGCTTAAGCACTACCACTAGTAATTGCATTTAGAAGACAACTTTGAAATTAAAGGCAGGGAGTACTCTTCAGGTGGCTGAAAGACATGAGAGTCTTAAAAAGTCTATATTTAGCACTGCTAAAGTAAGTCCAGTTGAAATAAACAGTTAGGTTTGTGGCAAATTATTTATAAAATAACTTATATTGGAAAAGTTTCAGAAGTACACAAGAGACTTGAAACAACTGATGCTTTCTTTCAGCTTGTATTTGTTTCTGCCAAGGCCATCCCTCTGTTAAAAAAGCCTTAGGCTGTACACTGCATTAAAAATAGAACAAGCAGTCTCTCACCAAGACTCCCCCAAACCTTCATTAATGTCATGGTGAATGAGTAGCAGCACTGCACATCAAATAGGCTGTGCATAGTCCATGTTTTTGGACCAAAGACCAAGAGAGCAGCAGCAGTGTTTCTTTCGGTGCACGTTAGCTCTCTTTGGTAATCAAACCGAACACCCTTGCAGTGGACTCTGGGCTTGGCAGGGCTGGGCTGAGCTGTGAGGCCTGAGTTTGAGTACAGCCATGGCTGAAACAGCCCAGGCTTCCAGAAAAAGTGAGTCTCTCTGTAATTTAATATAATCGTGAAGCTTTATCAGCGCACAGACAACATGAATTTCCATTTTGTTGGTGGTGTGAAATACAAAACAAGAACAGAATGAATTCTTCATATTTCCTAACATGAAAGAGAATCTCAGAATGCAACTTCCAAACTTCTAACCCTGAGCACAACTCTTCACCCCTCTCAGCAGCTTTTTCAATAGGGCATCACCAGCAGCTAAGAGCTTTGCAGTCTGACAACACAAACTATACAATGATCTGTACAAATTTTATGCCGAGGATTCAGTCTGCAGTCAGTCGCAGTGCTCCCTGAAGAGCTGGAGTCAAACAAAAAGCTACCCAGGTCAAATCAGTCTGCACTCCAGCACCCCCCATGGCAGCAAAAAGAACAACAACATCACTGTGGCGTGGAGTTTTCCAAAGAGATGATTTCAGATCCTGACAAATAAATGGGGAATTAAGGAAAATGAAAAAGTTAACTCCTTGTTCTTTAAAACCACATGGGGTTTATTCTTACTAGTCAAGAGCCACAAAGAAAGTAGTGGCTATCAGAGGGCCTCCTGTGGTGATAGTGGCTCACAGAGCCTTGGCTGTGTGTCATATCCACAATGTAATTCATTCATACATGGGAAAAGAGCTGCTCCCAACCAAGGTAAAAGTCAAAACTCCCCTAAGATGAAACATGAAATGAGGTTCAGACATGTACCTGACATAGAGTGAAATTGGCACCACCGTGTTTAAAATGATCACGTATGACCAGAACATGAGGAAGGCAGAGTAGGGGGCAGAAGTGACACCTTCTGCCCAGGGCAGATAGACCTGGAAGTAGTAGCCCTTATCATATTCCCAGATGCCGTTGCCAATGGCTAGGATAAGACACATCAGTGCTAAAAATGCAAAGATCTGCAAAAACAACAAAGATACAACATTTTAGAAATGGGAATTTATTATGGACAGGTTAATCAAGAGACCCTAATCAGATTGGGTCGGACAGCCTGAATCATTTGGAAATGGTTCCTAGGTGAAGGAAGAAAAACAGCAAAAGCATGACATTTAGATTCAAATACAGTATTATGCTGTACAGTCTCTTTGGTGATTTGGAATCACAAGGCATCAAACACATGGGAATTTAAGTTCTAAGTAGGGACCTAAAATGAGGTGCTCATGGGCAGCTGGCTACAAAATGTCAAGTCTGAACTGAGTGATTTGAGCTGCTGCTTCTCAAACATCTGGCTGCACACTCGGGAACAGAAACCTCAAAAAGCACCTTATCTGTCTATTTACTGGATGTATCATAGGCTAAAACCAAAGTTTTTTTCTTACAGTTTCAGAAAAAAAAAATACTAAGGGTAATTTTTAATACAGCAAGTCCTGTACTCCACAGGTTGAAATTCAATATTGGATACCATTCTCATGGTCAAAGGAGAGTTAATCACTGACTGAAAACTAATGGTTGCCTTGGTACCTGCCATCACAATCTGATTACATTTCCTTTAAGCAAACAGAGCAGCACTAACCAGTGATATGTATCTTTGGACTTTAAAGAAGCATTTCATAAAGCATTTCTTGGCTAGAAGAACATAGCAATACAATTGTTTGGAAATGAACACAAAAAGCAGGGAAAGAAGGAAAGTTAAGAGAAGTTAATAGAAACAGTTATTACTGAACTATGGGTATCTAATGGTCATATAAAATATCAAGAAAAGAAAACAGTAAACTCATAGAGATGTGGGAAAGGCAGTCATATTCAACAGACATTTCTTCATTTGAAGAAATTTCATTTTCTTCATATATATATCCCATATGATGTAGCAGATGAAAAAGACGGTTTAACTTCTGCAACAATGTACAAATGTATAATAATAAGCATTGTTAAAACAAAAGATCCAGGTAATTTAAATCTAACAGTTTAAAGGAACTGGCTGAGAAATTCCCTTAACCAGTAGAGTTAATTTTTAACAATGCTTGGAAAGGTGGGAAGCTCCACTTTTCTGAAATTTTGTCAACATAATTTCAGCATTTGAAAGGTAGAAATGGTGACTGTGGGAAAGACAAACTGAAGTTAGAGTGACATAATTCCTGGAGAAATGATGATAAAAGTAATTCTATTGATATAGAACATTTGGACTTTTCCATTTGACTTAACATGACCAAAATCCTAATAAAAACATGAAGATATGGAATCGGCTGGCAGCACAATACAAGATTAAACACGATCTATTGCAAGTGTGGTCTGCCTCTGTAAGAGAAGGATGTGAACAAACCAGATCACCCCTGCACATGCTCATGGGGCTCCCACTATGAACATCCTCTCCCTCTCTCTGGAACTAGATCATCCTCTGCAGGAGTGAGAAGTGTGTGTGCATGTGTTTTGTTTTATTTTTATTGTTTTTTTAGATAAAGAGAAGATGAACTTTGACAGACATTTCATGCCAGACTAAGACTGTTACAGTTTCTTTATTGGTTTATTGGCAGTTTGAGCTCCTTTCTCGGATTTGAAGCAATAAGGCATTTAGAGCCAACAGTGAAGCTCCATTTTTCTGAAAATGCGCTTGCACGAGCCCACAGAGAAAGTAAGTCCCAGAGCAAAACGCATTCGTGGTGCTGGCGGGTGTGTCCTCAGCCAAGGAACATTCACTTCTCTCTGAGATCTCTGAAAAATACTTTGTTCCTCTCCTTCTGATTTCAGTGCTATGCTGCTAGAGTCTTGCAGGGGAAATACTCCCAAACATGAAAGAAAAAAAAGAAAAAAAAAAAGCTTTCCATATGGAAAGGTTTATTCCCGATTAACCCTTTTTGAGACACACAAGGGCTACATTTAACCAGGACTCTATTTGTATGATGCGTTTAAACACTGTTACGTCCCGGAAATTTTCATGGACAATTAAACACAAAATAGCTTTGCCTGTGTTAACACAAAACAAGTTTCATTTCACTTACTTAAAATGAGATAATTTTAGAAAGCCGTAGCTGTTTTTTATTTCCAAGCTAGAGACTGCAACACACTATGTCTTTTTATGACCATGCTTTGTAAACTTTGACTGTCCAGTGAGCTGGAAGAACCTCATGTCACATTGGCTTTGGTGTACCTGGTGGTTAGGGTAGAACAGAACTGTACTTAGACACTACAGTGTTAGGTGCCTAAAAATACATAAAAGAGAAAAACACACACTTGACCATCAGTGCCCAAGAACCCAGGCAGAGGCTGATGCAATCAACTGCAACTTGCTCAATTTTTTAAAGCAGAGCCAGGAGCTAAAATCATCTTGTTTGCATTTACAAAGAGAGGCCAGACAGTCTGAAAGCTCTGGGTGGGGCCCTTAACTTGTGAAAGAGCAGGCAAACCTGAACCCAGTGCCACAACCTGAGCTCCCAATCAGTTTTTCTCTGCTCTGTTTCCTTGCACTAGGGATCCCATACAGCTTGACCCTGCAACCCTTCTTCCTTCTCAACTACATCACAACAGGTCACCTAAGAAAATGTGATGTTTCCTAAATATCTGCAAAATTCTGAATGTAAGGCACTCATGCTACATTAACCTTGTTTCTGTTCCCTCCAGAAGTGTGAGGAGACAACACACTGGGAAATGTGCTAATGATGGCATGCAAACATTTCACTTGGCATAGAATGGTGTAATGCTTCTAAAGTCAAGGGAGTTAATGTCCTTACTGTGCACTGAAGAAGGACTCACTCAAGAGTGCTTGAAGACCATCAGAGTTGCTCTCTGTGTAGTAACATTGTTTTACAGCAAATACACCCCTGCACGTGCTCAGGAGGCGGCTCCAGCAGCTCTGGAGCCAGTCTCACTGGTGCCCTTTGGTACATCCCAGCATGCTACACACAACCTGTGTCCTGGCACGGGCACAGCTCACCACTAACTCTTCCTATGACTGAGCAGCTGAGGAGTTTTTGCAATTCTAAGGAAAGGAAACAGGAGGGCAGGGCCTGAAATAAAATGCCAAAAATGGAGAGGGGAGGAAGCTTGGAGATGCATGTGCTATAAGCCCCCAGGTGGAAGAGATGCGAAGCCACTGAGGGAAGGCAGAGCTCGGGAGAGCTAACCACAGGGCCTTGCACTGGGCCTGTAATGGACAGGCTGCTGGGGGAGGTTTCCATCTCTTTCCTCCCCAGGGCCTGCTCCAGTGTCAGGGGGATGAATCCTGGCCCCAGTTTAGCCAGAGAGCAAGGACAGGAGGGAAGAAGAGGGAACAGTGGATGCTTGTAGGAAGAGGTAACTGTAGGCATAGCCAGCACTTCCAATAAGCTAAAGGCAGAAGAATGGAACATGCATGGAAAAGCATGACAAAATTGCATCCAAAAGAAAATAAGAGCCTGAAACTAAGGAGCTTTTCTTCAAGCAATATGGATTAAAGCAGCGTTAGAAAGCACGTCTCTGGACTGGCAGTAGCAACCAAGAGAGACCCTTGCCTGAGTGGCTTTTAGCTCAAGTGGTAAAGTCCTGGGAGGGTTTCTGTAGGAAATTCAATATCTCCAGGTGGAAAAGTCTGCCATTTGCTAAAATTGCAGAGAAGCTTAAACCTCAAATCTGATCTGTCCTCTAATTTGTGGAGGGTATCTGCTGTATAAGATTAGTGTTCTCAAATTTGCCAGCCACCGAAAATACCAGTTTCTGTGTGTTAATGAAACCATATCTAACATTTTACCCTAATGTGTTAAGTCAGAAGATAGCATTACATACATCAATGGACCGGATTATGAAACCAAATCCTATGTAGAGATCACCAAAGAAGCCAAGAAATCACCAAGAAAAGAGAACTGCTAATGTTTTAGAAAAAGACAAAATTACCAGAAAAAAAAAAAAACAAGCATTTGCAAGCTTCAAAATGATTCTCACCCAAATAAATAAATAAATAAAGGATAAAATGGAGGAGGTAGAGCAAGCAGCAAAGAAGAAGCTCAGAGGAAAGGTCCATAACATTGTCAGTTGAATGACCTTCTTTGGGCAAGATGAGCTGGCCAAGGCAAAGCAGACTCTGCATGCTAATAGACTTTTACAAAATTCCTCTTTTTATCATTATTATCATTAGTCACTTCTGATATCCCCTCATTTCTGAGGACAAAGAGGTGGTGCATTTAGAAACTTACCACTAACACGAGAACATTCATAAGTTGATCAATGCTTGTCCGTTTAAAAGTCGTTTTTCCACTGTTCTGCATTAGTTTGGTGTCTGGCCCTGGAGATCAAATACACTCATGATTTCTAGTAACAATGCTTAACAGTTCAAAAGCTGATTCCCTCTGATGCCTCACAGTGCTTTACAACATAAATACCACATAAATACCCATCACAGCCTTTTTGAAAGGCAGGCGCTTATAGTTGATGGTGTTGGTAGAAAACTTAGGAAAAAAAGATTAAATCATTTGCTTTAGATGGTATGGAAAGACTCATATATAAATCCATTCATTCAGGTTTTTGATCCTGCTCTCTTCTGTCAACAGCTAAGACTCCCTTTCATACTTAATTGCTTTTTGTAGAATACCTGATATGCTCTATTATTAGTGGCATATTGCACATAGTATCAAGTATCTGTAGCATTATAGAAACAACAGATAATCTGCACTCATAAAACAGCAAAGATCTAATAATTTACAGTAATATCACTAGTGATCCCCATATTCCAATAGGGCTTGCAATCATATAAAACTGATATGTATTTTTAAATCATGTGCTACAGAGTGGGAAGTTTTGTACATGCCTGGCGATAAAAAAAGTCTCCTATTGGCCAGTGCATCCTTAAACAGATCTAAGTCTCCCTTATTGCTTGATCAGTCAACATTTCTTTCATGTTATTTCCTGCCAGAGTTTATGGAATAAGACATTGCCTTTGCTTACGGAAGTACTCCATCAGGATGGAATTGGATGTTATAATGTAGCATTTGCAATTCAGATTTCTCTTATAGATCACTATTAAAAAATCAAGATTAAAATCTCCTGTAATATGCAAAATTTCTAGGATGGACTTCAGCCAAAAGATCATATGTATAGTTTTGCTCTTGTTCTTGTAGGTGGTAGAAATCAATTTTCTGAAGAGAAATATATTTAGCTGCTTTCTGCTGCCTGTGTTTTGTATCCTAATGCTGCTGTGCTCTGCAATTCACAATGTACATACTGAGCTTTCAACCTACCAGCATAAATAACGAGACCAAAGCACCACTCTGTGTTCCTAATAGTACAGTCTCTCAACAGCATCTTCTCATTATCCAGGGCATACTTCTCTCCTTGAAGAGTAAGAGTTCCTGTGAAGTTATCTAATTTGTTATTTGGTGCCTCACATCTGACTTCACCTGTAAAAAAAAGAAGATAGAAGATGGTGGAAATCTTTCTAGTTTAGGAATTTATGCAGTCAATACATACTGCATTCTCAGCTGTTCCCCAAATGTTTCTGAAGTTCACCTCCTGGATCATCAGGACCATCCTTCAGCCTAATTTACCTATGCTTTGTGATAGTGCTCTTCCCATTTTCTTTCCAAATCAAATGGGCCACAAAGGATTTGTATTTATCCTACTCTGAACATAGCTATTTTGTACTGCTAGAGTCCAACACAAAGTTTACAATCCTTATATGTGGGTGAGAAGAAATGTTGAACCAGCAACATACTTTTAATTCTTCTACAGCAAGTTCATAATGGGAGGATGTCACTGGATAATTTTAGATAACAATTGCTGACCTCACATAATTCTTATTCCATTTTCTTTGATGGAAATGAGAAAATTGATGCCTGAAGGTTGCAAGAGAGTAATTAAAGTGAGGTAGGTGTCTTTGCTCACTATTTTCTAATTTCAACTCTTTCATATCATTAGTCCCACTGACACCTGAGAAAAGAAGCTGGCACCTTTGGTTCTGCAGCTGATGCTGTATGAAAGACTATTTCTATTTCCACTTTTCATATTTATTTCTTATAATAAAATGTGTTCACACAATACTGTCAACACAGATATTACAGCATAAAAAATATTATTAAAATCAATACTTACAACAACATCTAATGATTTAAAGAGCTCAAGTTCTTTCCAGTATTGGAAAGAACTGGAAAATACAGTTTATTGAAAGGAATTCCAACAGCTTATTCTATTCTGTTTATGAACAGATGTAAGATATTTTGATCACAGATTGAAAATATCTACATAAGGACTAGCATTTGTCTAGGATACGATTCTTCCAGCTCGTCTCAGAGAATACATATCAAGCTCAAAAGATTGGAAGTGAAATCTAGAGAAAACCAGAAAAAATACATAAGCTTTCATGGCAGTATTTTCATTGCAGCAAATTTTAAAAACAAGAACAGATGTTCTTTTTGCAGCCATACTCTAGTGCAGGCTAATTACAAGACTAGACAAATGATGCAAAAATAGGAAATTCTAAGACACATGTGGCATCAGAGCTTATACTAACAACTATGGTGATCTTATGTGAGGTGGATTAGGAACTGGCTGGATGGCAGGGCCCAGAGAGTGGTGATCAGCGGTGCAGAGTCTAGTTGGAGGCCTGTAGCTAGCGGGGTCCCCCAGGGGTCAGTCCTTGGTCCAGTCCTGTTCAATTTATTCATCAATGACCTGGATGAAGGCACAGAGTGCTCCCTCAGCAAGTTTGCTGATGACACGAAACTGGGAGGAGTAGCTGATACCCCAGAGGGCTGCGCTGCCATCCAGAGGGACCTGGACACACTGGACAACTGGGCGGTGAAAAACCTCATGCAATTCAACAAGGCCAAGTGCAAGGTCCTGCACCTGGGAAAGAATAACCTCAGACACCAGTCCAGGCTGGGGACTGACCTTCTGGAGAGCAGCTCCGCGGAGAAAGACCTGGGTGTCATGGTGGACGACAAGTTGACCATGAGGCAGCAGTGCGCCCTCATGGCCAAGAAGGCCAATGGGATCCGGGG